AACGAGAGCGACTTGGTGACAGCCGCCATAGCAGCAATTGGGGCGCTAGATTGGGGTAAGTAAATTGGTTCATCAATGTAGCAGACAGTCTTAGGAACCTACGATGGGTCAGAGATTGGAAATTGGGCAGCGCCTGGAAGCACCTCTCGGATGTTTCCCGGTCCATTATAGACATCGTAAATGCCCAGCATATCTGCGAGGAAAAGCCCATGGAAATTGCCGTCCAGGATTTTCGCCAACTCGATCCAGTACGCGATTTCCTTGTACCGGTGAGTTTGGTTTCTCGGGTGCCTCCATAGCCCTATATTTAAAGTGTTAGCCATTTGAAGAGTTGGGCTAGTATAGTACTTCTAACTTACCTGGAGCGACATGAGTCGGGCTGCTCATGGAAAAGGCGTTGAGGATCCATTTCTTGGGTTCTGAAGCCATCTTCGGCGTGGAATTGGATGAATTGATGCAGGAACTGTCGGTACGCACTGTCAAACGCCCTGAACATTTAACTTTATTGGCCCTTGCTGTGTTAAATAGGTCCTTATCCTGATAGAAGTGGCTGCTGTGACGTGATTCGGCCAAGTTATGACACTACTATGGGGGCATTAGGGCTTGACATTGCGGAATGGCACATGCTATCTAATTAATGTTAGATTCGTTTCTCAAAGAGGATTCGACAGACTAAATCCATGGATAGATACCAGATCTGATTGCTCGTGTACGGATATCTGGCACAAGTTGCTGTGACGTGATTTGGCTAAGTTATGGCACTACGATGGGGAAATCAGGGTCTGATATTGCGAGATTTCACCGGCACGCGGTGTACACCAGCAAGCTGTGCACTCAAAACACATAGTAGCCGTCCTACTGCCTCAATAATACCTTTCCTAGAAAACATAAGAATTAGGTATCTTTTATATAGCACGCTCATATAAAAGGTACATGCACGTAGACCTCATTCTCTCAATCCTCCGACTAGTCAGAGGAAGAACACGGATATTAAAATAATGAAGGCTGGTCTAATTAATTTGCTAGAAAATATTAATATATCCCACGTGGAGACTTGAAGACCATATTTGGAAACACTATATAAGAGATGTATGTACCTAGAGAATAGTTACTTAATACACTGATACTGAACAAAATAGACTTCTTTTACACTGTACATACTAATAAACTTTCCCTAAGTATGCCCAGGACCGAGAAATCCCTATAATGCATAATGTCTGTATACCTGTATGGCCAAGCCTTACGGGGATGCCATGTGGAAATTTCTGCTTTGTGGGACCCCTAAATTGTACCTGGGAAAAATATGGGGACGACGGTAGGGCGGCTAAATGCTACATTCATACCTCAACGACCATGTTTTATCTCTCGAGGTCCTTATTTGTCGATGGTCGTCGATAAGGTTTATTTGCGCTATATATTTCAATCTTGAAGAAAGAAGAAGACTATTTCATCAATCTAAGAATTACCGACACTTACATTATTGCTCAAAGCTAGAAATGTATATAGCGCAATCGCAAAGCCGTATATGTTTTCAAAAACTCACCGGAGAGGCGAGATATCACTTATAAGTATTATGCTATAAGGAGAATTCTATATGCACCACCGTCACTAAGATATAAAGATATCATTTATCGTATTTACTATGTGCATCGAACTGCGCAGCTCGCTTGTGTGCGCAGATCGACGTTAACGACTGGATTTGATTGCTTGTGCATCTGGCGCAAGATTGGTCGTTGTGACGTGATCCAGCCAAGGGTTATGGCACTATGATAAGGGAATTAGGCGTTGGCATTATGGAATGGCACATACCTAACTAGGGCTTTTGGAGTCGATTCCCCAAAAGATTCGCTGTACTAAATACTGGATCTGATTCCTCATGTAGGATTGGTAGATTTTATACTCCACTATGACTCTTGTGCCTTCAGGTATGAGCTCTTAGAGACTATATATGACGAAATAGTGCGGGATATCGTATCGGAGATAGCTCTCAGCACATTGGAACCACTCAGAATTCTCAAATCATAGACACTAAGCGGAACGATCAACCGAGTGAGGAAAACGTCTAACCGATGGAAGAGGCCGAGGCTAGAGCTTTACACCATCGATCTGCTATGAAGGGTTTTCAAGCGTTGGCGGGGACATAAAACAGGTAAAAGTCTCGGTAGCTGCAAGTCTAGAAAAGTGCAATTGTTTCCGTGCATGATTTTTCGCCTGTCAGATTTCACACCATGAGTGAGACCGCAAGCCCAGTGCCACCCCTATCCCAGGGAGTCGGGTATGGTGTTGTCATTGGATTGGGAGTCGCTTTCGCTATAGGTAATTCCCTCAGCCCTACAAACAGCCTGTGAATTACTAGTAACATTGTTCCGCCAGGAATGGTATTCACCACAAGAGCATTGAAGAAAGTGTTCGGCGAAGACAGTAACACAACAGAGACGTAAGGCACCAGAAACCTAGTTGCGAAATCCAGCTAACTCCAGTAGTTTCATGGTTGCAAACCGAAGCGTCGGGACAGGGTTGACTGCGTCCGCAGTCATCTCGTCCTGGACCTTCACGTCCGCTCTTCTAGGTGCACCATACCTCACCTACTGGCACGGCATTGCTCTGCCAATCTGGTGGGCCAACGGACAGAGCGTTATGATCTGCTGCTTTGCCTACATGGCAATCCAGGCCAAGCTCAAGGCACCGAATGCGCACACCCTCCTCGAGCTCATACGCGTACGCTATGGTCGTGCCGCACATATTATATGGATCATAATGGCTCTTCTCAACAACATTTTCAATTTCACGTCCATGCTGGTAGGAGCATCAACTGCAGTTTCCGCCCTGACTGGCATGAACGTATACGCCTGCACATACCTGTTGCCGCTAGGTGTCGTCGTATATACATACTGGGGTGGGCTGAGGGCCACATTCTTGACAGACTATATCCACACGTTCATCATCATGATTGTCCTGGTGTGGTTCACTCTCAAAGTTCTTACCGTCGCTGAAATCGGTTCACTCACTGCATTCTACGATCTGGTCAAGTCTCTTCCGCAGGAAGGAACAGTCTCCGGCAACCATGCGGGATCGTACCTATCAATGAACAGCAACGAATCTTTGTTCTTCGGCATTATCCACATCGTCACCAACTTCGGAATTGTATTTATGGATACCGGCTTTTGGCAGAAGGGATTCTCCGCAGATATTGCAGCCGCAGTTCCCGGATATATCATCGGTGGAAACGCCTACTTCGCGATCCCGTTCACTTTTGGCACGGTTGTTGGTCTTGGTAAGTGTCCTCATAATTAACCCGTGTCAATATCTAACCTCCCTTCAGGAGCCCTCGTCTTGGAACAGACTCCCATATGGCCGACCTACCCTCGCAGGATGACTCAGGCTGAGGTCTCTGGGGGCTTGGTACTGCCCTATACGGCGCAGGCAGTTGCTGGAAAGGGAGGTGCCGCGGCAATTCTGTTGATTCTGTTTATGGCGTGCACCAGTGTCGCATCCGCTCAGCTCATTGCCGTCAGCTCAATTGTCTCATTTGACATTTACGGGTCGTACTTCAATAAAAACCCCACGGACCAGCAGTTGATCCGATGGTCGCATGTGGGCGTCGTCGGATGCGCACTGTTCATTTCGACCTTTGCTACCGTGCTCCATAAGGGTGGAGTCGACCTCAACTGGACTATATATATGATTGGCATCGTTATTTGGTATTTATCAATTACCCCAAGGGAACTATGTTGTCGCTAACAGATCTTATAGCCCCGGAACCTTTCCAACATGCTTTGCGCTTCTCTGGAAGAAACAATCTCGCGTCGCCGCCATTGTGGCGCCCATCGTGGGTATGGCTTCTGGATTTGCCATCTGGTTCGCGACTGCTTATAAGCTGTATGGGGAGATCAGTATCATTACTACGGGCGAGACTCTGCCTTGCATGTATGCATGTCTCACGTCGATGTTTGTCCCGCTTCCAGTATCAGTGGTATTGTCTTACCTGCGGCCCTCAGACTTTGACTGGGACGAGTTCCTCAAAATCGAAAGAATCAGCGATAAAAGTGATTCACAGCCGCAATTTGACCGTGAGAGTTATTTCAGTCCGGAACGAGTGAAGTATATGAAGCGCATGTCAAAAATTGCCGCCATCTGGGCCGTGGCAACATTCATGGGCCAGATCGTTCTCTGGCCACTGCCCATGTACGGCGCAAAGACAGTGATGTCCAAGGGGCTGTTTGTGGCCTGGTTAGTTGTGGGCCTGATCTGGCTGTTCATCACGCTGCTTGTTGCCAACTTTTATCCTCTTGTCGACGGTGGACTGCAGCAGATCTGGCAGGTCATCGCTGCAGTTAGAAAAACCACTAAAGACGACTCGTCTGAGGTTATCGAGGTGGATGTCAGCCCGGAGACGAAGTCGTAAAGCACATAGAATACGGGCTGGAACTGGTTGGGCCCTAATCCTCATCATCAGCACAGATCACTCAGTTTATATCTACGACATGGTCATAAGCAACGAAATTAACTGCTCTCAAATGGCAAATGTTAGACAAAAGTTAGTAAAGGAATCGGAAGCTTCTATTAAAATGTAACAAACGCTTTAGCTATGTTAGTAAATACATCTCTTACTGAATAATAGGATAGATATATAATGTATCTGGTAAAGTACACTTCGACCTGTATTGCTCAATACTATTGTAAAAAAAAAAAAAAGCTAACGATGTAACTAGTTGCTAGTTAACTAGAGCCTATGCTATGACAAACTCAAGTTGTCGATCCACTCCTTGAAGAAAATTGCGTCGTGTCTTTCGTTGTAACACCTGGAAGAATAAAGAAAACGGATTTTTTGTCGATCGTGGAAAGGGTCGACGACCGTTATTTTTGCTCGTTGGTAAGCCATGGCTCTGATGTTCATGTTTTGTATCCTAGAGTGATCACGTAGATATGCAACCGCCTCTCGACAGATCCGCAGACCTTCGTCTTTATGCTCTCTTTCTAGAGGTTTCGAGATCCTGAAATCACTTATCCAGGTGAGGCTGTCGAGAGTCAAATGTTTCAGGGTGTGTAGGGCTGTTTGTAGTATATGCTTGAAGGATGATACAGTGGTTATGACTTGGCTCAGTGAGAGGACCGATAGACGAGAAAACTTGAACTCTTGTGAGATCCAGTCGAAGTGTGCGTCCGCCAGGTCAAGGCCGGTTTTCTGTCGGCAGAACAAAGAGGAATTCATACCTGCAAGATGCATGGTGAGATACAGACTCACTAAGCTCGGGGCTGCCTGAGCAAGGAGCGGCAGCAGTCTCTTCTTCTCTCTTTCGAGGCGATTTTTCCTTTCTTGCCAGACCACTGATTCCTGTAGCAGGAACGCCACTTCTTCTTCGTCTTCGCGTAAACGCTGCCGCTCACTATCTTGGGTATGGGCCGAGGAAATGCGAACAGACAAGTGCTGCAGTTGTTGAAGAATTGGTGTCAAGGCTTCTTCTTCCGCTGGTGTGAGGTCTAGTCCATCATCCACCATAATCCCACCAGAAGTTTCAAGCCTTTCGATCCGAGTGTGGGTTGTACCGAAGGCGGCTAACTGTGTAGAGAAAATATAGGACTGAAATAGACTCCCTCGAATAGGAACTACTACGAGCACACTCGTCAGCACCCCGGGTTGAGGAGCTAGGATAAACCGGATTGAAGCCAAGTTGTGTTCGCAAACTTCCTATCCCTCTCATGATCCTGGGAAATCTCTTGGTTTCGTCCTCCTGATGACCGTGATAGTTTCTCAGTCCTGCCGTACGCAGATTGGAAAAAGAAGGCAGGCAGCTCTCTAGTGCATCTCGAAGGGGCGTTTTTGTGGTGCTTCTCTCTAGAGATGACAAAAGAATGTTGAAGTGGTCGACTACTGCATCCTTGTAGATGAGATAGCGACTTTCTAACGGTACGTCACACATTAAGACAAGCCGATTATTTAATAATGTTGGCCGCCTTACCGGCTGCCTTACAGGAAGAAGGTTGGGGGGAATCGTGAAGGGAGGACGAGAGTTGGAGAGAAGTCGTAGGCGTTGTCCCTGAAGTTCCAGAGTTTCCTGCGATTGAACGATTCGCTTAATATCCTCAAGTGTCCACGTGTAGTCCGCACAAAAAATGGTCGGTACAATCCACAGTGTCTAGCCTCAAGAATCAGTTTATATTCGACGCATTACATGGCAAGAGGTATGAATACACATACCGTAACATGTCTGCTGAAGATTTCGTGGCCAGCCACGTACCTTAACGCTCGTAGGCCACCGCTGGTAAGTGTAATGTAGATTTCATCGAAAATCAAATCAGCAAAGTAGTGGTAGGTCCCTAGTGCAATTGCACTGCAACTCAGTCGTAGTGCACAAACGTCCTTGATCTTCAATTTTCGACATATTTGGGCCCATAACTCTGGAGGTAGAGAATTAATAGAGTTTCCCATCATTTGGGGGATCTGACGTTGAAGATAAAGGCAAGAAAAGGGAATACGTAGTACTGACTCCTGAGAAGTTGGGAAACTATAACGAAAAACGAATGCCTGTTTTTACGAACAGGTACCGGCGCACCAATTAATCCGCCATACTAAGAACCAATTTTTCTCGTTATGAACTTTGTTGATCATTCATCCCATACAAAATTCGTTATAACTGTTACGATCCTATGTAGTGAGTGTCTTGTGTCCTGGAATTCTGGTCTTGGCAGCGGGTTAACCTTTGGAACTCACCCTCTCGCCAAGTAACCGAACCCCTTTGCTAGTATTAACTTACCACCACCCGTACAAAAGTACTTTTCGTCAGCGATTCAGGTATAAAAGGTACAGGGGCTTAGGTTGATGGGAACCAATCCCCGGAGGAAAAAAAGCATACACACCGAAGCATAACCATTTATTCAGAACTTCCGAGACAGAAGAGCCAGTCTTGAGGCCGGCAAACATGGTTGAGCGTATAGGTATGGAGAATATCTACACTCACACAAATATGGGTGTCAAGCCAAAGGCTCGTGGCAGGGTTCCATTCCTCGATCTCAGCAACTGTTACACCCTTGGACGTTGCAATACTGGAACATCCATCACCCGAGACCACATAGTAGAATGCATCGCAAGTAGTGACCGTGGTAGTACTGGTAGCATCAATAATTCCAACGCAAATGTAATCCCCCAAACCCAAGTACGCACAGCTATGATAAACGTACGCAAAGAGGAAGAAGATGTTGTACTGGTGATAGTGGATTGGAAATCGACTTGGACACAGTAGAAATATATTCGGTCACCTGTCTCAATCAATATGACGGTAATCAGCTGGCCACGAATAGGTCGGGGCGACCTTTAGGCCTCTTCGTAGATCTTTCCCTCAATGCGTTCCGAATGTAACAACGCAATATTGTCTCATTGCTTGTCGTTGTAGAAGCTCATTAATCCGCACTTATGTGCTCGTTGTCCTGCTGAATAGATTTTAACATTCCAATGAACTAAATAAATCATACTGACGTGGTACTAAAGGGCTTCCGATAGCTACAATACAGTACTACTTCGTATATTGAGAAATGATTTAGCTAAACACAATATCAAAAGTTTCTATGATAACGACGGTATCTAATCATCATCAAGTACTGCGACAAGAATACGCCCGTCTAAGGCTTTGATCTGCTCGATGCAGCTGGTACTCAGTTCTCTTTCATAAGTTCCTTGGTTAGGCATTGTAAAAATATGGAGGGTGGCCATCTTTCAAACTCACGGGGGATAGGCAGTGGGAGGAAGATTTCTAGTAGAAATCCAGAAATCTTCACCGGTTTCATCCTTGATAATCCTGGAGCAAGGTCAATATACCACCAGATATCCAAACCTCTTTTAACTCACTGTGACACCTGGGGGTCAAATTCCTCCCAAGCTTCTATACTATCGTACGTATAGCGAATTCGCTTTGGAGGAAGCAGTTAGCGTTTGCTTCCCTCAGGGTACCCAAATATTAAAGCACATTTTTTTCGCTCATGTTGGAACTTCTTATTTCGGATTTTGGTAGGTACTTTGCTTAGCCTTGTGATATCAAAGATTTTGTACGAAGTATAGTCCAGAAAATCAAATTGGGCTTCTTATAACCTTATACCAAATAAGCGATCGTCTGCTCATGATATCATGAGATCATATGAAATGATTTTTCATTGGCTCAAGGGACACACTCTGTGGGACTATGACTTGTACCTATACCGCTGCTGATCAGCAAAACATTGCAACATCGATAGGCTATGCTGCGATTGGTTATTTAGGCATGAGTTAAGCCAGATCGTCAGATCTTCTCTCCCCTCGCCTTCCTAGATCCTGCCGATAAAACTGGCAGGCTAATACAAAGATTTATAATAAACCTTTCTTAAATTATAGCTAAGACTATACTATTCAACTGCTTAGCAGAATTTGATTTATAGTAATCTCATAGGGCCTAACGCCGTCTTGGGTACGGGCCGAGAAGCAAAACGTATGTTCTTTTAAGTTATATGGTTTGCCCCATGCCAGAAACTGTGATTATGGTAATCTTGTTGATCTACCAGAGATATACCAAGAAAAGATGGTGTTGGGTGACCGGAAGGCGGTCACCCATGTGGGTCCAGATCACTAGATAGTTCCGCTCCCTCTTCTTCTCTCTCTCTCCTCGTCCATCAGATCTTAGCGAATCTACACTAGTTGTTTTCCCCTTTTCAGGCACAACGTAGTTAGACACGCCATTAGATGGTGAGTATTACGTTTACCGGTAGCAAGATCGGTACCGGTCGATCAGTGAGATCACGTACGGGATAATATTTCAACCAATAGCATGGCCACGCGTTTACATCTATGCTTGGCCCCATAGAATCGGCTAATAGTTCAGCCCTCAATGAGTAAATCTATAGTACCCGATCGGTTGGGCCGTGATCTGCCTGAGATATTGAAGCACTCATGATACTACTTCGGGCTATTCATGGTCAATACTACAGTATACCTCGGAAGCTGATCCTGGAGATATTGCTATCATAGCAGACTACTATGAATGTAGGGAGGCTTTGTATTTACTGACAGATATATGGATTAAGAATGTGGACGAGAAGATTCCTACGGCGGTTGATCGGGATTTGATTTTATGGCTATGGATTGCCTGCCTTCACTGTCCCTGGGTTCACTTTCTCTTCTGGCAATATCGCCTACGCGACGGCCTCGTGGACAGGCGTGTATGGAGATACGACTTCCGTGGAGAATAGCGCGGTGCTGGCCCCGACCACCACAACCACCCTTATCCAACCACCACTGATTCCACCGCCGATCCTGTTATCAACACTCGGATCACGCATAGATCTTCAGCAACCAGCTCAGACAGTGCCCCATCGTCAAAATGCACACCGATTCTACTCAAAAGATGTGGCAAAGGCTGTATGTTCCTCCCAATTCCTTCACCTCTCCTTTAAATGAAGACTATTATGGGCTAACGCGACGGACGTAATATGGGTGCTCCTTACTGTATTAGAGATTGTCCCCTGTGCCCTCCGGATTATGATGGTACGTCAGGCGGGCTGCTATGTCTACCAGGACCCAGACTCCGGTAGCACTGGTGCATACTGCGAATGTCCATGGTACGAGGGCACCTTGCCCGAGCTCTCTGGCCCCGCCACCTGCGGCTACACATCCCTGCCAGCTTCAACGTCCGAGGACGCCGTCACCACCAAGCCCGCCGGTTCCTACCTGTATACCTTCACTGATCTATATGGCGTTGTGGTCGCCTGTGAGTCTGAATCTTTCCTCAATGCCGGTTATGCCGTCACCGAGTGTGCCGGTTGACCATAACAAAAACTAAGCATCTGTTCTGTTTTTCGTCTGACACATAATCCCATTTGCGTAAAGGTGTTGGTAGGACTGTGAGAGTACCCTGCAGAGAAACATGCATATAAGACTTTGGTTCCACCTTGTTTAGGTATTTCAAGACTGCAAGAAGCGACATATGACTCTTTCACGGACAATTCCCTTGTCGTCGGTGCTAATTTGTCAAAAAATGCCCTCCTTCATCATGATAAGCCATCTTCATCTTCCGCAACAAATTTCTAAATTGTTCTAATCTCCAAAATGGAAACTCGCCTTCCATGGCTGTGCAGATATCCCATTCTAAAGATTGAATAGTACTGATCACTCAACAGCATACAACAACATGATAAATCTTCGGCTAGTAAGCCATCTGTTCTCCAAATAACCTAGCTCTTCTTAACCAAATAAAGATGCCATGCGGCCTTCCAGGAGACGTAAAGCTCGCCATCAAAGTCGTTCATCAAACATACAAATCCGGCATATGGTCGCGTGCGAGTCGTATCTACCCGATCTATAAACTTTCTTTTACGGTTATCTTCGAAATTTCCTTATGTATAGCGACTGAAAATGAAAATGAAAATGAAGAATTAGGTAGAACATCATAAACCAGCTCGAGGGAAAGTAAACAAAAAGTAGTGCAAAAAATAATTGTAGTACAATTGAGGCCCAAACCCCAGGACCAGGACCCAAGAACGCCGTGTCCTGTTGTGCGCCAGCGATAAGTAATAAGAGTCAAGGATATATACAAGGGAGCAAAAAAACGATCACACCCTGAGACCAATTTCCAACCCAGGATTCACAAAGCACCAATTCCCGAGTCAAAAGCCAATCCCAGGAAACTCCAATATCTATCTCTCGATGGTTCTCTCAGGAGTATAGTGTTTGCGCGGCTGGAAAAGACACTCCAACACCAGCCAAAAACCAAAGCGTAGTCACGTATTAAAAAACAAGGCCAAAATGAGGCCTAGAACAACATATCCAAGCAGCAGCAGCAAGCCATTGCAGCCATGATACCCGCGCAAATGCCACCTGCACCTCCGCCGGAGTTCCCGCGGTCATTGGCATAGTAACCCTGTGGCGGCTGTTGAGGGTACTGCTGCGGCGGGTAATACATCGGCTGCTGGCCTTGGGCGTAATAGCCCTGCGGGTTTTGCTGTGGCTGGGCATAGCCTTGCTGGGGTGGGTAGTAGCCCTGCTGTGGTTGCTGGCCGCCGCCGTAGTAGTCGTTCGCAGCGCCGGGGCTTTGGTGCGGTTGTTGGTAGTAGGGGCCTGAGTCGTGGACCTGGGCAGGGTAGGAAGGTGGCGGGCTTGTCTAGAAGGAATTTATATTTAGCATTTGTGTTTTAAGCAGGCTTGCGATTGATTGTTCTTGTACTTACGGGTTTGTTGTAAGACATGGCGGAAGCTGAATGTGGAGTTCCCGGGATGTCAGACTTAGTGCGGATTTGGGGAGATTGCGCAGTAGATGTGGATATGGGGGCTGTTTCTCTGTCGGATTGGTTCGGTGTGTACTCGAAACCCGCGAACAGTAAGGAGAGAGTGGTGATAGAAATAAAGAGTAGGAAGTGCCGGAATCGAGGAAGAGTTGCAGTGGCGCAGTTCGGGGATTAGTCAACCGATTTCCAGGGTTTTCCACGTTCCAAGATTTTATACTTACGCGGCCTCATTTTAGTACCCCGTGGATATACCTACCAGAATAATAATGCATAAATCTATTTTTTGGGTGTTTTCCTTTATAATCTTTAGCTGATATGATAGAAATGATTAGTTACAAATATGGAATACTTGCAGGAAACAGAGATGTCTTTTTATAGTCTTATATATAGCCAAAAGGATACATAGTAATTGGCTATAGATGTCGGCAAAATACAGACGACTTTGCCATATATAGTATATGGAATATCGCCTAGACAGTAGCCTATATGAATGTGAGCAGACATTAAGCATGATCTACAACTTCCTCCTCACCTGAACTCGAAAGACAGCCATTCATAGATTGGATTCATCTAGAGATACAAAGACACGGCCATTATGTAAAATCACAGGCAAACACCCCATCGAAATCCCCTGAAGCAGGAGAAAGTTCGCGCCTATACGCCATGCTGCCCATAATACAAAGGGGAGACCAAAAACGTTTTTTGTGTTTGTTGAATGTGAGTCAATGAGTAAAAAAAGTAACTCCCAAGTGTCCACTTCTGTCTGGCATCGGCTGCTCTCTCGACTGCCAGTTGGATATTTCCTGCAGAGTTGCGAGTATGGAAAAAGGTCATATCGGAGACAGTAAGTGGACCTGATGCGATTCGAATTTGCGAGGTTGAGGTTCACAGGAACCGGGGTTTGGTTTTGCAAAAATCCCCAAATGAAAGAAAAGAGAAAGAAGAGAAAGATCTAGCGTGAGCTCATGCTGAAGAGTCGCATATCAATCCTGTCCCATTTGCAGAAACCTTGTTTTGCAGCTTAAATGACCCAGCGGTAACTGGCATAGCGACCTGCAGTCTCAGACTTGCGAATGATCTTAACGACCTGGCCACGGCGCAACCCAAGATAGCGGGCGACAGGATCCGAGATCTGTATGCGGGGCAATTGGGACTCCTTCAGACGGTAGCGCTCGAGAAGCTTGCCCTTCTCCTCGGGGCTAAGCAGGACGTGCTTGGGGACCAGCTCGTGGCGGGTGATGTTGACGAGCAGATCCTGTTCCTGGAAGTGTTCGCAGATGCGGCCGGGGACGCCGGAAAGCAGGCGCACGGCAGAGGGTGAGATAGGCGTCTGCGTGATGAAGATACCAGTGTGGAAGTTGTTCTCATCGACAAGGTGGTTGAAGGCGCGCACTTGCTTGGTTCCGACACCTGAGGAGTCGGGGCAGAAGTCGACGTAGATTGTGCCGCAGTCTGGCTGGGGGTTTGGGTTTGCTTTGCTGGGAAGTGGTGTGTACTTCATCTTCATGGTATCGGTGGGGCGGGCTTGGATTTTCATCTTGGTGCGACTATTGTTGCGGAACTGTTAGTGATATGTGCCTTTTCAATGACGTGTGCCGGCATTGACTAGCTCAAATTTCCACTATCTCAAGACAATGGGGCGGTGGGCGCAGGGATTCACGTACTCGGGGTAGCCCAGAGGGTCAGCATATTTTGCGCGGAAGTCTTCTAGCGGGAGTACCAGCTCGTTATCAGATACTTCGTAGCCCTGGTGTGTCGCCGATGGTTAGCCTTGGGTAAATGGGCATAATAGGAGAGACACTGAGAAGTCAGGGACTCGATCTGGAGTACCTACCCGGTCAGCGAGCAGTTCATAGACTGTTCTAAATGTGCGCCAGAGCCGAGTCATCTCGCGCTCGGCTTCCATGGAGTGTGCCGAATCCCCATCCATGATGGAGTGAGAAGTTGACGACTAGGAGAGAAAAGGTAATCAGGTACTATCTCGCCTGGAGAGTTTAAAAAGAAAAAAATTGGATAGAAAGAGCTCCGGTGGAGAGATAAAGGTGAAGTCGAAAAATCGGCGGGAACTTTCTGCCAGCGACGCTTAAGCGGAGAAACCGACCGAACCATTTTAATTATTCCAAGTTTCCCCTTTTCAGTTTCGCTTTAGTCTGTTGGTCTATTTAATCCCTTCAGGATCCTCGGAAGGCAATTTGTCTCTTCCTTCTCTCTGTCTCTCTTTTTACATTCAATTCGTCGCAATGGCTGCCACTGATGCGGAGCGGGTTAAGCCCACCAAGCCCGACGAGGCCGCCTACAAAACCAGTCTCGCTGAGGCCGAGAAGGAGCACACTGCTGCTCAGGAGAAATTGGTATGGAAGCCTGTTTCTGGAATTGTCACTTGAGCTCTCATCTGACTCTGGGTCGCGGGGGTGATTCCGACCCACTATTGTTGATTGTCCTCGTGTCCATTATTTACTTGCATACCATGTCCTCGGGCCAATGACTGATATGCGCAACAGAACCAAATCAAGGCCAAGTTGGATAACGCCAAGCCCAGCAACCAGGATTCGCCCATCGTGAAGAAGCAGCAGGAGCTGCGCGCCGAACTCTCAGCCATTCGTCAGAAGCAGTCGGGCTTCAAGTCCAGCCGGTCCTCCATCCAGGAGAAGCTCAACGCCTTGGACGCCAATCTCAAGGCCCGCATTACTGAGCAGAACAACTCTCGCGGGCGGCTCTCATTCAAGAGCGTCGATGAGATCGACAAGGAGATTGCCCGCCTCGAGAAGCAGGTCGACTCTGGCACCCTCCGCCTGGTGGATGAGCGCAAGGCTCTCACCGAGGTCTCCAACTTGCGTAAGCAGCGCAAGAGCTTCGCCGGATTGGACGAGGCGCAGAAGGGCATCAACGATATCAAGACACAGATCTCCGAACTGCGCAAGACCCTCGACAACCCCGAGGCCAAGGCCCTGAGCGACAAGTACAACGAGATCCAGAAGGAGCTCGATACCATCAAGGCTGAGCAGGATTCCGTTTTCAAGAACCTGAACGCTTTGCGCGATGAGCGCACCAAGCTGCGCAACGAGCAACAGGAAAAGTACACTGCTATTCGCACTATCAAGGATACTTACTTCAAGGCCCGTCGTGCCTACAAGGAGTACGAGGACGAGGCCTGGCGTATACGCCGTGAGCGTCAGAAGGCTGAGCACGAGGCCTTTGCGCGCGAGAAGCGCAAGAAGATCGCCGATAAGAAGTTGGAGGAGGCCTCGCAGCTTGCCTACACCGACGAGATCCTCACTGCACAGGGTCTGATCCGTCACTTCGATCCCGCTTATGATTTCACCACCCTGGGTCTGGATGAGAAGAAGGATGAGGGCAGCAATTTCCGTGCCGGAGTTGGCCGCACTGTTGAGGCCGCCGAGATCAAGGGAATGAAGGTTGTGCGCAAGGACGACGAGGAGGACTACTTTATCGGTTCCGGTGGTAAGAAGGGTAAGAAGGGCGGCAAGAAGGGTGGTGCCGCCGCCAGTGCTGAGAACACCAAGTTCAACATGAATGTTGGTA